TCGGCGACCTGAACAAACTGCATACAGACGAACTGTCGCAAGTCCGCGCGGAGTTCCTGAATCTTCGTGGGGTCCCTGGCGCGCTGCGCCAGGGAGGGGGGTCTAGCGCAGGTTCCACGAAATCCGCGCGGACCTCCAAAGGGGTTCTGCTTATGTTTGTTCTTCTTCACGCAGGGTGGCCTCCAGCCCATCCTGGGTCGTGGCCGGGTCTCCCGGGAGAGGGGAGAAACAATAAGCTCACATCGGTCCTGGCCACGCTCTCCTTGGGTCCAGGATTGGTGCGTGGGCCAGGCCGGAGGGGCGCAAACAACGGTCCTGGTCCCAGGACGTGCCTGGCCAGGTGTTGGTGTATAGCTGGTGTCCCCCGAGTGGGTACGCTGAAACTTTGTGGGTGTCTTGAATGACCTCCTCCCGCACTAAGAGAGCACCCGCGGACCCTGGCGCATGTAGGAATAACGCGGTGGGGGGCATACGGGAGACAGTGTAAAGTGCTCCTGCACGCTGCATCTGCCCGCCCATGTTCCTCGTTGTTATCGTGCTCCTCTCCCGTGCTCAAGGAGCCTTCCTCCGTCTCCTCCACCTCCTCCTCCTCGGGCGCCCCCGCCGCACCCGCCAGATGGAGGGGGAACGCGGGGCGAGGGAGGGTGCATGGCCTGCTCAGGTGCAGGATTCGGCTGGGATCCTGGGGCTCCCTGTTCCCCCCCTCCTCCGTGGGCGGCACTCCACCTCCTCCTCCTCCTCGTCCAGCTCCTCCTCGTCTTTTCCCCTCCCTCTCCTCCTCCTCCTCCTCCTCCTCCTCCCTCCTCCTCCTCCTCCTCCTCCTCCTCCTCCTCTCTCCTCGTCCAGCTCCTCCTCCGTCCCCCCCCCCTCCCTCCCTCTCCTCCTCCTCCTCCTCCTCCTCCTCCTCTCCCGCCCCCCTCTCACTCTCCCCGCCCCCCCCACCCCCCGCAGCCACTTTGGCTCGAGGTGCTCGTCCCTTGCGCTTGCCACGGCCGCGCCGGGCCCCCCGCCGGGCCGAGCGGCACTGGAGACCCCCCGCGACAGGCATGGCGGCCCGTCAGACCTCGGCCGGGGTGGGGCACGTCGTCGTTGTCGGCGGCGGCCTGGCCGGCATCGCGGCCGCGTGCGAGCTGCTCGAGTGCGGGTGCTCCGTGACGATGCTGGAGATCAGCATAGTTTACCGGCGGCGAGCGAGGGGGGGGGCGTGAGAAGGAGGAGGCGTTCTCCGGAGGCGGCGGGACCTCGGAAGCCCTCTGGCCTTCCGGGAGGTGCTGTTCTTGTTTCGGTATTCGGGGAAGGCTTCGGAAACTTCTCAGAAGGCGGGGGGACTTCCGAGCCTTCTGAGACGGCCCGCCTCTTCTCACTTCCCCCCCCCAGGTTCGCCGCCGACTTTCACTGATACCCATCCCAATTGGGCCATGGTCTCTTAGCCCTACCAGCCCGCCCTCGCAGGTTGTGGTAGACCCCACGAGACCTGAAGGAACAGGCAAACAGGCATATATGATCCCAGATCGAGGGTTCACGCCCCCCCCCCTCCCCAGATTGGATGGGTCCCAGGGTTCACAGCCCCCCCCCTGATGAGATGGGCCCCAGGGTTCACAGCCCAAATTACCCCCTGATGAGATGGGGGGGGCGACGATGACGACCACCACCACCACCACCACCACCACCACCACCACCACCACCACCACCACCACCACCACCACACCACGCCCATAGGGCCACGACCACATGCAGGGGGGGGGGGGGCGTCGCGCGGGGGGGGGTTCAAGGCATTAGCATGAGGAGGGGGGGGGACAGAGCCCTGGATCACATATCCCCACCTAGGTTGGCAAGTCGGCCAGTGGGGCCAATGAATGCCACGCCAGTGGGAATTTAGGATGCGTTAAGCAATGCTCAGGAGAAGATGCCCAGCCTCGGCGGGAACTCCTCCAAGGCCACGTCCGGGATCGCGGTGCCTGGGAGCAGGCTGCAGTCCGAGACGTACGGCCTACAGGACGACGGCGCAGACCTCGTCCAGCAGGGCGCGGGCGCTTGGCTGAAGGGGGCCCCGGGCGACGTGGAGTGGTTCCTAAACAGCCTTGGGCTCCAGGACCCGAGAAGAACAAACGCAGAACCCTAGACCTTCGGAGGTCATCACGGATTGCTTGGATCGGCCGCTGGGCTTCCCGGACGGCGCCTGAGGCGCCGCCCGGGGGCCCAGTGCCGACACAAGACCCGTGCGGACTTCAGACAGTACATGTTCATGCCCTTTTCAGTGATTCCAACCAAGGACGAGCTGGTGCTGAGGCAGACGCCTGGACACAAGGTGATGCGCACCATCGGCACGAAGCACAACTTCCCCGGCATGGTCATCACTTATGCGGCCACCAATCACCTGAGGCGCATAGCAGAGACGCACACGGCTAAAGTCAAGATCATCACGCGCGCGGAGGTGAAAGGACTTGCCATCTCTGCTGGCCAGGTCTGCGGGGTGACCTACCACAGGACACTCGAAGATGGCAAAATCGTCAGCGAAACTCTCTCAGGTCCCGTGGTGCTTGCCACGGGAGGCTACTGCGGGGACAAGTCGGCGCAAGGATTCCTTCACCGGTACAGGGGAGACCTCAGGCAATCGGGCGTTACGTATGGGGGCTATAAATGCACTAGGAGCTCGACCGCAAGAAACTTTCCACAATAAACCCAACCTGAGACCCCAGGATGTCCATTGATTTTTGGTGTGGTGACGTCGCACTTGCCATGGGAAAACTGACGAAACCCAAGGAACCAAGGGCACCCTGAGTTTCCACTGTAAGGGATTGGCCAGAAAACGTTGATTCGCCCCCCACTAAGCAACGCGCGAGGCAATTGCCGACCACAAACGACGAGCGCAGCAGCGGCGACGGCATTAGGCTGGCCCAGTCGATGGGCGCGAAGCTGGATCGCCTCCAGGACTTATGATGTTCCAACTTATTTTTCCATTGACCACCAGCAAGAATTTCGAGCACCAAGACAGTACCGAAGCGGCAGGGTCTTCACGTGTCGGACCCAGGGAGACGATGCTCGTCCGACGCCGTTTTCGCTGCGCTCCTGGGTGCTCGAAATCACGTCTGGGACGTGGCCCTCGAGCGCGATGGGGGCAGCAGAAGCCAGGACGTGGACCTCGTTCCGACGGCGCTGGTGGACCCGAGCGACCGAGGCAGCTCCCTGAAGCTGATCGCCTCGGACTCCATCCTGGGCGCGGGGGGCGCCATCCTGGACGCCGCGGGCGGCCGTCCCTGCGACGAGCGGGGCCCCAAGCAGGACGCGGTGGCGAGGATGGCGAGGGCCAGGGGCCCGTTCCGGCTGGTGATCGGCACCGACAAGGCTTAAGTAGGGCCTGTCCCTCTACAGGAGGAAAATCCAGAAATAGTGACAACATGGTCCGGGGACTGTTGGTTTAGTATTGTTTGACCATCTTGGAGTCTTTTGTTAGGTTTGTCGCCGAAAATCCCCCTGAAAGGGGGACAGGCCCGACCTAAGACAAGGCCGCTCCGCTGGAGTGGATGATGGAGCTCGAAGCAGAGAAGACGCCGCAGCCCAAGACCTGTCGGAGCTCCGCGCGGCTTCCCTGGAGCTGCGCCGGGCCGCCCCGGCTGCGCACCTGGCGCCGTCCCGGGCGCGCCCCGCGCGTACGGCGCCGGTGCAGGGAAGCCGCGCGGACCTTCGAAGGACTGTGTATGTAGCGTTGCTTAGTGCAGGAGTTCTACCAGAAGAACAAGCTCATGCGGAAGCTCGGGTCTGGGGGCTCCGGGGGCGTCTCGGCGCTCGCCAGAGAGATGGGCGTCAAGCAGGCATGGAGGACCCTCAGAACGCATCCTAGCCCAATGTGTCTTTGCCCCGTCCTGCTCCGCCGACAGCACGCAGCTTATGCCAGCCCTTACTGCACCGGCTGCCTCGTACTGGAGGGGCGGCGTGGGTGGACAAGCGCACCTTTGGCGCGAGCGCACGTTCTGAGGATCGACAAAGGCGGCGCTGCTGAAATCGCTCAAGGACGTCGTCGACCAGGACGGGGAGCTCTTCGTCGGCGAGGTGACGCCCGCCGTGTACTCCTGCGCAGGGGGCATCTGCACCGACCCGACCACGTCCCAGGTCCAGGGCTCCGCCGGCCCGATCAAGGGCCTCTTCGCAGCTGGCGAGGTTCAGCATCGCTTGACCGATCCCCATCCCCACTGGGCCATGGCATGTCAGCCCCACCAGCGCACCGTCATAGGTTGGGATAGGCCTCGCGAGCTCCCGAAAGGAACAGCATCAGACGACATAGAGCCAGCGTGGGCCCAAGTAGTTTGTTTTGGCTACCTGTGTTACGCAGCAGTTGTGCCGCGATATAAGTGGAGCAATCTCTGTGGTGCAATCTATGCTGTGCAGTCTCTGTGGAGCACTATGATGTGTGGTGCCATCTGCATGTTGCAATCGACGTGGTACAATGGACCAGCTTCCATGTATGTTGTGCAATCTGGTGTGCAGTCTATGTTGTGCAAGTGGTGTGGAGCGCTACACCCGGCGCAACCTATGTGGTGCTTTCTATGTGGTGCAATCCATGTAGTTCAATCTATGTTGTGCAACTTGCGTGGAGCAATCTAAACTGTGCGCAATCCACGTGGTGCAATCTATTCACATCTGAGCAGATATGTGGTGCAACATACGTTGAGCAATATATGTTGCGCGATGTATGTGGTACACTCCTATGTGGTACAACTTATTGGCGCAATCTATGTGGTTCAATTGACGTGGTGTGATCTGTGCAGTGCAATCTATGTGGTGCAACCTGTGTTGTCAAATTTCGGCGACGTCGAGGCAGCGACGGCGACCATGGAGCCGCCACACCGACAGCCAGGCCCAGACGACGGGCGGCGACAAGGCGGCGACGGGGCGGCGACGGTGACCACGGAGCTGCCAGGCCCACGGCCAGGCCCAGCTCCTCAGAAAGCACGGAATAGCCCCTCAGGGCAAGCACCGTTTGGGGAAGATCTCCGCCCAGGTGGGCAAGTCGGGCGGAGGAGCCGAGGCCGCGCCAGTGGAGGCATGGATCGGCCAAAACATGCTCAGAGGTGGCGGCGTCCCCCGAGTCCGCCGTGTGGGCCATCTCGGGGGTGCCGCTCATGCAGTGCATCGCCACGGGCCGTGCGGCAGGCAGGAGCGCCGCCGCTCTGGCTCTGGAGGGCGCCGGCGCGGCACGCCAGGACCTGCGGCAGCTGATCCTCAGCTCGCTCAACGCCGCGCTGGGCGCGGATGCGGCCTCGCCGTCGAAGGCGTCGCCATCGGACAAGCCGCTGGAGGAGCTCTCGAAGGAGGAGCTGATCGCGAAGGTGAAGGACCTGCAGATCAATGGGGCCGTGGCCGCGCCGGCCACGGACGCGGCGTCCGCCGGCCCGCCGCCGATCACCCTCGAGGACGTCGCGAAGCACAACACCAAGGACGACGCCTGGCTTGTGGTGAATGGCGACGTCATCGACGTGACCAAGTGGGTCCCAATCCACCCAGGCGGAGAGCAGGCCATCGCGGCGTACTTCGGAAAGGACGCCACCGAGGAGTGGAACATGATCCACAAGAAGGACATGGTCCAGAAGAACATCTCCAACCTCACGATCATCGGCAAGCTCGGCTCCGGTGGCGGCGGTGCTGGCGCCGCCGCCGCCGCCCCGGCCAAGGGCGACGGCATCGAGCTCGCCGAGGTGGCTAAGCACAACACGAAGGAGGACGCGTGGATCGTGGTCAACGGCCAGGTGCTGGACGTGACCAAGTGGATCCCGGTGCACCCTGGCGGCGAGCAGGCCATCATGGCGTACCTGGGCCAGGATGCCTCGGAGGAGTGGAACACGATCCACAAGCCGAACATGATCGAGGCCAACCTGTCGAATCCGAACGGCCCCGTGGTCAAGGGCAAGTTCGCGGGCGGATCGGCGGCCCCGCCCCCGGTGGCGAGCGGCGGCGACGACGAGCTGCCGGCGCCTGACGGGCCCGGCTGCATGCCGGGCCCAGTGGGGGCCCTCTTCTACATGGTCCTCAACGTACTGAGGCTCATCATGAAGACGATTCTGTTCACAGGGAACTTCCACTTCAGTTTCGACAACAACCGCAACGGCACCATCCGCTCCGCCATGTTCCTGCTCTTCTTCACGATCGTCCACGCTGGTGGGAACGTGATGGACCTGCTCGTCAACAACCGGCCAGAGGAAGTAAATGGCGAGGGATACCTCATTGAGGACAGGATGGGCTGGACAGGCGGCGGCATCTGCTTGCTGGAGGAGTACACCGTCCTGTGCTTGGCGCTCCACGTCGCTGTCGCATTGAAGCGGTCCTGGGACATCTCGCTGAATTACTGCGTCTACACGGGACGCTGGAACATGCTGCTGTCTGGTCTGACGGTCCTCTCGTTCCTGTTCAAACATCTAACCGACATCCGGCTGTACCAGCACTGGACCTGCGCCGCTGTATACCCGCCGAAGTACTTCATCGCTTACGACAAGGTCTTCTCGGGGCACCTGTTCAGCGAGCCGGTGGCTCCAGGCCTTGCGCCGCCTGAGGGCGTCACGCCGGTGGCGGTCCACGACGTGTACACGCGGGAGTACGAGCTCTTCGGCGACCTCAACACTGTCCTGTTCTACTCTGCCTGCGTGATCGTCTTCATCTGCCACATGGTCTGGGGGTGGAAGAAGCTGGTCCCCGCGGACACGTTCCAGATCCCGAAGGATCACGTCAAGGTGGTGACGTACCTGGGCCAGGGCCTCGCAGTGACGCTCGGCTGCATGTACCTGTCTCTGGTGTGGTTCGTGTACCTGACCGTCCTGCCGGATGGGAAGGGGCCCTTGGCTGATCAGGTGGTCGTGATGCCATGCCCTAACGAGTGAGTGGCTTGGTCAGGCTGCTCGATGCATTTTGTGCCGAACAGTGAATTCCTACAGGGTCGTGGGCCCACCGGCGTGCCGATCGCAGGAAGTCCTGCCGGCAACGGCGCCATTTTCAGAGTGGCCTCTCGCCCGCGTGGGGTTGGAGGCCCAATACATGTTGCTCACCATGCAGAACAACGCCTGCCACGCTTCATTGTTTGAGTGACGCTTTCACGTGTAGCGGTACACCCGATTGGGACGCCGCCGCTTTTTCAATGTGCACTCCCATCCCACCGCATCTGTCATCCTTCCTATGGCTGCGCGGCGTGTTTGTGTAAGCTGAACGCGTTCGTGAAAGTGCCTGGACATCTCAGCGAGCGCGTTCCACTACTCGAAAAGTGCCTACTTGCAAACGTCCCCCAAATACTCGCTGTTCGATGCAAGGGTTCCGGTTTGCTTCGTTGCAATGGACCCAGGCCGTTTGCGAGTAGCTACTCTGCGAGTCGTGGGACGCGCTCGTCTCACATGGGAAGAGCTGATTTTCGGAAGGCCCGGGTCGTGCAGGGCGGCAGATACAGAACGAGCCGGACGGGTTCATCCGCGCTCCGCCCTGCGGGCCTGAAGGTCCACACTCGGGAGGCAGATCTCAGAGCTCAGGGCACGGCGCCGAGCTGGGGACCATATCTCAGGAGGAGGAGGAGGAGGAGGAGGAGGAGGAGGAGAAGGATGCAGGAGGAGGAGTGGAGGCGACCCAGATCTCCACGCAGCGGGGACACGGAACGTGCAGCCTCCGAGCCGGCAGCACGAGATCGCAGGGCTAAGCAGCCAGCGCTCGCTATTCGCTCGACGGGGGCGCTGGGAGACGACTTGGTCGGAGGTCACAGAAAAGAAGGGGGCGAGGCGAGGAGGAGGAGGAGGAGGAGGAGGAGGAGGAGGAGGAGGAGAAGGGGGAGGAGGAGGAGGAGGAGGAGGAGGAGGAGGAGGAGGAGGAGGAGGAGGAGGAGGAGGGGAGGCGGAGGAGAGGGAGAGGAGCAGGAGGAGGAGGAGGAGGGGAGGAGGAGGAGGGAGGAGGGAGGAGGAGGAGAGGAGGAGGAGGAGGAGGAGGAGGAGGAGGAGGAGGAGGAGGGAGGCGGAGGAGGGAGGCGGAGGCGGAAGAGGCTCCCCTACTCTGCCGAGGAGGCGAAAGAGGCTCCCCTACCCTGCCATCTCCGTGCCCCCCCCCCCCCTTCCTGTCCAGGGCGCCTGCAGGGCGGCTCCTCCCGCAAAGGAGGCGCCTCGGGGCGACCGGGGGGGCGAACTCAGCAGGGCCTTGCGCAGCATCCTGTGAAGGGCCACGGCATTGTTCGGGGAAGCGTGAGACTCGAGAAAGCGGGAACTGGGGTCTGCCGATTTTTTTTTGACGAGCGCGTCCTGGATTTTGACGGTCCCGTTTTCGCAGGATGGTTGCAGCGGGAGCCCGCGTCAAGTTTCAGAGTGGGCCTCGTCACTTTTATGATGGCCCCCGCCGGGCCAGCCCGAGTCCCCCGTACCCGAGTCTTACGTCTCCCCGAATTTTGTTCGTATGTTTCAGAGCTTGAATTACCTACCCCGCTTTCGCTTCCAGGAAAGCCCAAGTCATACCACGCGCCTCCTCGTCAAGCGACCTGACCAGTACAGGCCGTAGTTTGGCATCGCTTGGTATCTCTTGGAAGCGAGGGTGGTCAAAAGCGAGGTAGGTTTGTTTTCCCCTTAATGTTGGCGTGCCAGGTTGCTTTCCCCTTATGCGCTGCGACCTGCTCCCTGTAGCCGTGGGAGCGAGGCGAGGCGAAGCGACGGGGGCCAACGGCGGCACCAACGAGGATGCGGAGGAGGAGGGGGGGAGAGGGCGCCGACGACGACGGCAGGAGTCAACCGTTAGATCCTTTTTCGGATCGTTCGCTTCAAGAGCCTTCTGGGAGCCTCAGTGCTGGGAGCTGTCGGGCCCTCTTGGGGCCCCTTTTGGGGCCTCGGTGTTCCTCTTGTGGCCATCGTCGAGGGCATCGATCAAAAGAGGGGGGATCCTTAGTCAGCTTTGCCCCGTCCAAGCCCGACACATCGCATCGTTGGAGCCCTCTCGGAGCTCTCTTGCGGAGCTCCTGAGGCTCTCTTGGGCCTCGTCTAGGCTTAAGTCGGGCCTATCCCTCTATTGGAGGAAGATTCAAATTATAACAAAATAGTATGGGGACGATTGTTGGACTATGTTTGATCATTTTGGCGCATTTTTTGACCATTGCTTAGTCGGCCTGTAGGGGGACATGTAGGGGGCCGACTGAGCCTGTCGGTTTAGTCGGCCTGTTGATTGCATTGTTTGATCATTCTTGTCCTTCCAAAATCGGCCTGTAGGGGGACATGCCCGACCAAAATCGGCCTGTAGGGGGACATGCCCGACCTAAGTCTAGGCCTTCGTGGGGCTCCCTGGGGCAATCAGAGGGCCACCGCGAGGCCCCCGAGGCCCACTGGAAGCGGACAAGCGAGAAGGTCGGACGCATGGGACTTGCCAGGCGTTTGATGGATTTTGACATCTCGGGGGTATCCTGGGACGCTCCGTGGCAGCCTGGGGCCGTCTCGGGGTGGCCCCTTGCCCTGCTGGAGGCATCTTGGAGAGCATGTTGAGCAGGCACCATCGGTCAAGAACTAAGACTGTGAAGTGATGTTGGCTTTTTTCTGAGCGCAAGGGGCGTCACCACTCGGCGCCCTTGGGGTTCCTCCATGTGGCCCTCTTGGGGCTCTTTTGGGCCACCTTGGAGCCATCTTGGGGAGCCGGAAGCCCGCAGGAAGCGAAACGGCGAGAAGACCCACAACATTGGGCAACAACAACAACACCGCCAATTGCAGCACCAACAACCAAAATAATAATAGCATAATAAGGGTAATAATAATACGATTAATGATGATACTAATAATAATCAGCATAATCATAATCATAAGAATAATAGCAATAATAAGAACACCAATAACAACATCAACAACAACAACAGCAACAACAACAACAGCAGCAGCAACAACAACAACGCGTGTTTGGATGTTGTTGGCCTTTGTGGGCCATCCCGTCGGCGATCCGTGACCTCCCGGAGCTGTCCCTTGGAGCGACCTCGGGCCCTCGCTGAGGCATGCTGCAGGCCACCTTGGGATGTCAAGGTGAGCGGGGCCGAATGGTCATTTGCCGTCCCTTTTCTACGACAAGCCCTCACAACAACTCAACAAGGATAAACACATTCATATGTACAAACCTGCGCAGAGCATCTCCTGCCAGCCCGGCTGGCCGGCCGAAGACTTTGCTCTATGCTGTAGCCTCTTTTGGAAGATCTGGACGGTACGGCTGTTCACGATGTCGTTTAGCAGCCGGTTGAACACGCGTATCATGCCAAATATGGACCGTCGCAGAATAGCCGGGTGACCGGGCTCGATCGGATCAAACAGACATCCCTGGGCGCCCGGCTGAAGTGAGGTTCTGTGGTGCGGACGGTTGGACTCCCACTGCTGAGGAATACCTGTGGTGGATCCCCCCCCCCCCCGCCCTGGGGCACAGGGTATTCTTCAGCTGGAGCACCCTATCCAGGGCTCGCACCCTGCTTTTTGATCAGGGGGGGTCTTGGGTCTCAGAAGTGTGTCTTTGGCCCCCCTGTTCACAACAACGGCGGCTCCAACCTGATACTTCACCACAACTTATTCCCAAATCGCGCTCTTGCGCGGGACCTATTCACAATTTATGTTGGAATCGTGCTCTCGCGTGCGACTGCCTCGCAGTTTTTTCAGACGCTGCCCCCTCGACGCTCTGGAATCACGCTCTCGCTTTGGCCTATCTCACGATTTACTTGGGAATCCCGCTATCGCTCGACACTCGCGTTTGATGCAGGACACACGCTTCAGCAACCCGCCTGCTCGACCTGGCCTCCTGGGCCCGCCTTCCAGACTCGCCTGTTAGGGTCTTCCCGCCCGATCTGCCCGTCTGGTTCTGCCATGTGTTTTCTGCTCCTAGCCCCCCTCTTGCTACTCTCTCACTCTCTCTTTCTCGTGTTCCATCCTCCTTCCTCCCCCTTGTCTCTTTCTTCCATCTGTAGAGGCTGCATGAAGTATACGCTGCAGGTAAGAAATATATACCCCCAAAGGGGTACGATCGAAGACGAAGAGGGCGGGCATCGAGGGTTAGGGATGTACGTGTTGGATGGCACGCACACAGATAAGAGCGAACAGTCTCAACATGTTTGTTGTTGTTGGTGTTGTTAGTGGTGTTGGCGTTAATGTTGTTATTGTTGCTGATGCTGATATGTCCTCACAATGGATTCCAACATCGTGCTCTCGCGCGGGACTTATTTACAGGACTTATCCACAATTCATGCAGGAATCGCGCTCTCGCGTGGGACTTCCCCGCAGTTTCTTCTAACGCCGCGCCCTCGACATTCAGGAATCACGCGCTAGCTGTGGCGTATCTTACGATTTACTTGGGAATCGCGCTATCGCTCGAGACTTCATCGCGATTCATGCAGGACTCACGCTTCAGCAACACGCCTTCTCGACCTGGCCTCCTGGGCCCGCCTTGCCGAAACGCCCGCTGGGGACTGCCCACCCGACATGCCCGTCTGGTTCTGCCACGTGTTTTCTGCTCTTAGCCCCCCTCCCCCCCTCCTGCTAAATTCTCTTGTGCTCCATCCTTCTCTCTCCCCCTTCCATCCGTCCTCTCTTCTCCTGTTTTAGAGGCTGCGCTAAGTGCGTGTGGCAAGATGCCCCAAAGGGGATACGATCGAAGACGAAAATGCCTGGTACCAAGGGTTTGGGATCTACAGTCCTAAAATGATTGTTGTTGTTGTTGTTTGTGGTGGTGGTTGTGGTGGTGGGGGGGGGGGGGGGGTTGTTGCTTGTTGTCGTCGTCCCCTCCGCGACCTGGCCCGCGACCCATCCGCGACTCACCCGCGACCCACCCGCGACCCGCCCGCGACCCGCCCGCGACCCACCCGCGACCGACCCGCGACCCGCCCGCGACCCGGCCCGCGACCCGGCCCGCGACCCACCCGAGACCCACCCGCGGGCCACCCGCGACCCAACGCGACCCACCCACATCGCTTTAACGGAAAATCTGTGTCTGCGGCGGGGTCGTTGTATAGTTTGTAGACATTGGGCGCCTGAGGGGGGCTTCCTCAGAGCCTCGCAGACTGCCGACGTCCCCGCCGCCCCCTCACTCTCATCCGCTATTGTGGGGTGCTACATGGTGGAAATTAGGCGCCTGCGGCGGGCTTCCTCGGAGCCTCGCAGACTGCCGACGTCCCCGCCGCCCTCTCACTCTTATCCGTGACTGCGGGGTACTACATTTTGTGCCGTATGGGAGGTCATCCGGTCTCGGGTTATCTAGAGCCACGTTGGATCCATCTTGCACGCTCTAAGCCCCCCCCCGCCTCTTCAATATCCCGGTATGGTAAGGGGAGGGGTCAAGCTACCCGCCCCCCTTCCCGAAGGACGGCCGCCTCGCTCATTCCCACCTGCACTGCCACCACTTTAGTAGCGCCCAAGTGTCAGCACAGACAGGGGCCGCAGTCGATAACCACTGGGAACCCATGCAGACGCCAGTCAGGAACGCGACGCCTGCGAGGTGCGCCGCACGTGCCAGGGCACCCTCATCATCCCTGGGAAATAGCAATGAAAACAACTGGTCCCAGTGCGCCCGTGCATGGTGTGCCTGCGCACGCCATGCAATATGGTGCCCCCCCCCCGCCGCCCCAAGTGATCGCGTGGCGCCCTAAAATGATCCAGATTATGCGCAAAGCGCATGTTTTTTGTTTGACAGGGGTGGTTGGGGCGGGGAGCTCGGGTCGCCATTGCCCCTAGTTAGGCGCGTGTAGCGTATGTGAGTTTGGGTGAGGGGGGGGTACGTTGATAAGCAGCAGTGGCAAGTCTCCCCAATAATAAGGGAGACTGGGAAGCGAGGAGAAGGAGGGCGAGGAGGGAGAGGGGGGGAGGAAGAGGGAGGAGGAGGGAAGGATAGAGAGAGAGAGAGAGAGAGAGACCGACGAGAAGCGAGGAAGAGGAAGAAGAGGAGGAGAAGGAGGAGGAGGAGGATGAGGAGGAGGAGGAGCGCGTCCGTAGCCATTTTGGCTCAAGTCCGTAGCCTTCTGGGCTCAGGACCTGGCCTTACTGGCAAAGGGGGAGCAGCGGCCCCCACAGTGCCCTTCGTTTGCCTGGCCAGACGAGGATTCTTCTGTGAGCTCCTGGAGGAGCAGCCTCCCCCTCCCTCTTGCCCATGGGCAAGAAGCGCCCCGATGGCCATATTGTGCCCAACACGGCGCAGAGCCAGTGCTGGCGATGCTCCGCGTGCGGGTGCCAGCGCAATGAGGCCTGGTGGACGTGGTGCAAGCATTGTCATGCCCCGAGACAGGCGCCACGCTTCAGTGCATCCTGGTCCGCTCCTGTGCCTCCTGGTGTGTGGGGGGGGATGCTCAGCCTGCGGCTCAGTGGCATGCGGGGCCCCAGGGGCATGGCGCGGGCTCCGATATGGGGGCCGCCTTGCGGCCAGGGCCGCAGCTCCTGGGCCTCGGCGGCAAGGGCGGCAAGGGCCACGCGGGCGCCAGCGGCCAGCACGGGGCTCCTGGAGGCGGCGACGCTGGAGGAGGAGGCCCCGCCGCTCCTGGCCTGCAGCTTGTCGGAGGCGGGGGATTCTCCAAGGGCCCTCCGCGACAGTTCGGAGACCAGGACCTGCCCTGGCTCAAGCAGCTCGCCGCCACCTTCAAAGAGCTGGGGGACAAGCAGCAGTTCGAGTATTAGTCCGCCATCGTTGCGCGGCTCGAGCACGCGAGCAGAGCTCCGCCGCCGCTCACCGTCGGCGCCGCCAGGCATGCCTTCGAGGCTGCCAGGGTCCAGCTGGACAAGGCAGTCCAGGCGGCGGAGCGCATCGAGCAGTCGCTGGCGGAGGCCAAAGGGAAAGCGGTGCTGGCGCACACCGAGTACAAGCGCAGAGAGGCCGAGTACCATGACACTGTTCGTGCGCTGCAGCAAGTTCTCCCTGCAGGTCCAGGCGCGGTGCCTGACAGCAAGGGAAGACCACTGCTGGACCTCAACGCGTTGCTCGACGGGGCTGATGTGGAGTTGGACGATCGAGGGGCTTTCGGCATCGACGACGAGGGGTTCGTGCTCTCCTCTTCTGAACGTGCTGAGCTGGATCGACGCAGGGCGGAGTTGCTCGGTATCTTCAGGGGGGCCACCAAAGCCGCTTTCGGCCAGGCCAAGGGGAAGGCCGCCAGCCTGGTGGAGGAGCACAAGGAGTTCAACCGCCGCATGCCCGACTCCAAGCGCAGGAGGTGTGAAGAACCGCCTGCTGCAGCCCCAGGCACACCCGTGGCAGGCACCCCCCCAGCCGCCGCCGAGGGGCCAGCAGCAGGTGCGGGTGTTGCTGAAGTGCCGACCACGCCTGTGGCGACGGGAGACGGCATGCAGGACCATGATCGGTCGGGTGCTTTCTTGCCGGGCCCGCCTGCGCATGTCGATCTCACTTTGGGGGGGTCTCAAGCGGTTCCCAGTGATGGCGACGACGAGACGCTCTTTGAGGAAGCCAGGAAGCAGGCTCAGAAGGGGTCTTCCCTTTAGCCTAGGCTGTTTCCGTTTCGATCCTGCGGCACCTCCGTGCTCACCGAGGGGCTCCATGCAGGCCGCAAGAACACTGGTTTCCTTGGAGGGCTCGAGCACGGCCACTCCCAGCGGGTCAGCTACTTTTTCGTGTTTTTCGGTTTCGGCGACCACGGGTCCATGGGCGCTTGGGTGCTCACTCACCACGCCTGTTTCGGTGACCCCGTGCTGGCACGGCGCGCGCCCCGAGACAGGCCTGGCAGAAGACACCCCATGGAGAGCCAGCGCTACGTCACCGTGTACTTGGTTCGGGCCGTCTGGGTCAGTGTCGGCATCAACGCAAGCTTGGCGAAGCTCGACGGATACGTTTGCGGCTACTCCGTCCTCGTCAGTGGCAGGTTTTTTGTCTGGATGTATCCCTATCCGCTGTCCCATCCATATCCCTTCCAGTTGCGCGGCCTTTCGCCCCAGCGGCGCGCGCGGACCCACCTCGCCTTGCGGGCGCAGCAGGGGGTGAAGTACCGACCGATGAGGCACGCATGGATCCCCCTGCCAGCCTTGCGGGCGCAGAGGTTGGTGAAGTACCGACCGCTGGGGGCAGCGAAACGTGTGAGGGGGAAGGAGTGCGGTCTATTCCAGCTGGTGCGCCGCGACTCCCGAAGAAGAAGTCCAAGCCGAGCGGAGACTTAGTGGTTTGGGCCGCCAGCACGACTGCCTGGAAGTCCGCCCTTGCTTATGTTCGTCAACGGGCCGAGTGCCGTCGGACACGGACGCTTGCTGATCGGCCTGTGCAGTTGCTGTGTCTGCAGGAGCTCGGCGTGCACCCGGATGATCGGACCCAGTGCGAAAAGCAGCTGAGGGACCAGAAGTTTTTTGTTGCAGCGCAGGCTAGCCGAGTCACCGAGCTTGGCGGCCTGTCAGGGGGCGTTGGAGTGGGCGCGCCTCAGCACGTCGGCATGGGCGAAGGCCCGATGCCCAAGCAACCTCTTCCATCTCCTCATCGCCTCATCGTCAAGTGGGTCAATGCCCTAGTCCCAAGGGGCTTCTGGTTAGCATCCGTGCACCAGCCTACCGGGGCCCCCATTCGGGCCCGAAGGGGCCCACCTGCTTGTGCGCTTGGGCGAGCTGTTCCACATTATTCGGAGGCCCTTTATTGTTGGGGGCGACTGGAATACGACACCCTCGGAATTGGCGTCCATGGGCTGGCCGAGTCGGGTTCGGGCTCGGATTGTTGCGCCACGTGAGGTCACGCGTCGGTCAGGCAAGGGGCGTATCTTGGACTACTTTGTCGTCTCGGATGCCCTCATGCCGTCCGTCAAGGGGTGCTCCGTGGCGGTCAACTCCTTCCTGGCCCCGCACAGGCCCGTGGGGCTCCGTCTTGCTGCCCGTGCTGTGCCGACAACGATTATGGTCCATGCTGGCCCTCGCAAGCTTCCGCATGATATCCCAATTGGCCCCTATCCTGTCCCGCCAGATTGGTCTGATGTCTTGGGGGCTCTCGAGAAGCAGGGGGACCAGCGCAGCTTGAACCAGGCCTTTGGGAAGTTCGTCGGGCGCATGGAGGATGAGCGTATCGGGGTCCACGGGATCCCAGAGGAGCAGCAGGATAGGTTTCGAGGAAGGGGCTTAGGCTGGAAGTATAAGCGTCTCCCTGGATTCGCTCCAACGCCAGGCCCGTGCCCTGTTGCTAGCCAGGAGGCGTTGGGCTGGAGACGAGTGGCCAATTGGCTCCGCGAGCTCGGCCACATCCAGTCCCAGGATGTGTGCAGGAGGCCTCTCGCGCTCGCCTCCCTTCTCGCTAAGATCAGCACGGGGCCAAAGGCGATCAGAGACTCTCCAGCCTGGGCCGCTTTTTCTCTTCTCCGCCGCAGATTGGAGCAGCATGTCATCCGTCGGCCTCTTTGACTTTGCCAACCTCGCAAAGAAGGAGGCCACCCGTTGCGAGAAGGAGTTCGCTTGTCGTCGGTCCGCTGAGTGGCGTCTGTACGTGAAGGAGGCAGTCGCCAACGGTGGCGGCAAGGCCCACAGGTTCACCCGCCTTCCTGTGGGCTGGAGGCCTATCCAGGCCAAGCGTGGCGAGCCCCCCCCCCAGGCCCAGAGGAGGAGCTGGAGCACGTTCTCAAGGATCGGGAGGAGGTCTGGTCATGCCCCGAGGCCGACGAGGACCCAGAGGCATGTACGCGTGAGCTGTCGTCGTTCCTGGAGTCCCAGAGGTGTCCTGTGCTGCAGCACGAGCCCGAGTTCATTCGTAAGGTTGCGCGGAAGATCAAGGGCTGGACGTCGCACGGGGTCGATCGCCTGGGCCCCAGGGATTTCTGCGTGGCCTCGGACAAGTGCCTCGAGGCTCTCAACTTGCTGTGGAACTGGATGTTGGCCCTGGGAGCGTTGCCCGCGCAGATCGGCCTCGCCCTCATGCCCTCCCTCCCGAAGCCCGAAGGGGACACGCGGCTCATAGGGCTGCTCAGCATGGTGGTGCGTGTCTGGGCCCGTTGTTCCAGGGAGGTGGTCCGTCTTTGGGAAGCTGAACATTCTCGGAGCTACACCTACGGGACCAGGGGCAAGTCTTGCGAAAGGGCCGTCTGGGAGCAGTCGTTCGCCAGTGAGAATGCCGCGCTGACGGAGAGGTTCGCGACAAACTCCTTTTTGGATTTGGTTAAGGCCTACGAGAAGGTTCAACACAGGACCTGATTAGCGCGGCCAAGAAGCATGGGTTTCCGCTTTTTCACCTTCGGTTGTGTCTGAAAGTGTATCGTGCACCGCGGAGTCTCCTGCTAGGTAAGCGAGTGTCGCGCCCTGTAAGGATCCTGTCCACCATCATCGCTGGTTGCGGCTTCGCCACCACTCTTCTCCAGGTGATGATGCTGGATGTTCTCGATTTTTGTGCCAGGTGGTTCCCTCACACCCGTCTGTTTAACGTGGTGGACGACATTACGGCTCAGACGATCGGCACGGCAGCTCTGGTGGTCAAGGAAGGTCTGGCGGTCACCCTCACGCTGTGCCGCATGCTCGAGGCCCGTAGGCTCATCATCTCCACGACCAAGGGCCGCGTGACGGCCACCACGTCGGACATCGCCGACAAGATTGTTGCGGGTTTTAAAAAAGTGCATTTTCGGTCCTCGCATCATGTGAAGAACCTGGGTACTGACTACACGCAAGGGGACCGTCGTCGGGTTCAGGTCCAGGCTGGCCGCGTATGTAAGGTGAGGGCCCGCGCGGGCCGCTTTAGGTCTCTGAAGAGTCAGTTTCGCAGGCTCACAATGATCTCCAAAGTGGGCGCCCTCCCAGCAGGCTCGTATGGGGTCAGTGTGGTTGGGATCTCTAACAGGCTCCTCTCGAGGCTTAGGTGTGCGGTCGCCCAGGGGCTCTTTGGACCTGCTAGAGGCCGCTCTCGAACTATTCAGTTCTGGCTTTCGCCTGCGCCCGAAGCCGACCCAGCCTTTGTGGGCAACTCCCTGCCGCTCCTCGCATGGGGGAAAGCTTTTTGGCAGGGATGGGCGTCTAGGGAGGCGATGCGCTCAACGTTCGATTTACTTTTGGAGCGCTTCCGCGCAAATGAATTCACGTGGTCTGCGGTGAAGGGACCCTACGGGAGCTGTGATCATGACGCTTCGGAGGCTCGGGTGGGTCCCCCAGAGCTTCTGCGTCTGGTCTCTTCCCTCGGGCCTGTCTTTAGACCTCGAGAAGGTCCGAAAGGTTTCTTTGCAGACTTTCGTCGACCGTGGCACCAAATATCAGTTGTCAGGGCAGTTGCGGTGGAGCCATCAGGGCCAGGAGTTCTCTCATCCCCAGCTCGATGCAGTTAGTGAGGCGTGCGCTTCTCTGCGTCGCAGAGGGGACTGTCTCCAGGCCAGCCTCCTTGCCACGCACGTTGCAGGAGGCCTTGTCACCCAGTCTGTTCTGTATCAAGACCGTCGGGTTATCGACCAGAGGTGCCAGCTGTGCCTTGGAGCTCGCGGGACCTCACAGCACCGCCTCTTTGTCTGTGATGGGTTGCACGAGGGTCGCAGCAAGCTCGGTTTTGATGAGGAGCTGCGGGGTTGGAGGAGTGTGGAGGATGAGGATCCTTGCCTCTCCCGCTGCCTCCTCCCTGCCCCCATCAGGTTCACCCCTCGCCTCCAGATCACAGGTGCCTGGAGGTGGGACGTCTGCCCACCAGGAGGCGAAGTGCTAGGCCGCGTGTGCTCTGATGGGTCTGCTCTTTTGCCTGACCTTCCTCTCTTCACGGTCGCTGCCTGGGCGGTTGTGATACTGGACGGAGGGGGAAATGTTCTAGGCTCGGCCAGTGGTCCTCTCCCGCACGCGCTGCATTCTATTTATGGCGCTGAGGTGTTCGCCATCCTCATGGCTCTCCGCCTCTCGGGCCCAGGCGATGTTGAGCTTGGTTGCGATTCCTTGTCCGCTGTCTTGACCTGGGACCGAGGGGCGGAAGCTGATGTCTCTAACCTGCCCTTTGCGGAGCTTTGGGAAGAAATTAACTTCAGGCGGAGGGGCCGTGGCGATTCGTTTCGAGTTTTCCATGTTCCCGCCCATAAGACCTGGCCCAAGGCTCTTTCCATGGGTGTGCCGTTTTGGGCTTGGAAAGGGAACCGAGTTGCGGATCTTGCTGCCGAGAGAGCAGCCAGTGACATTCCCATTCCAGTGGCCCTCCGCGACCAGTTCGTTGAGCAAAGGCAGCGCCTGCAGGTTCTTGGCCGCTTCACAGGAGCCATGCTCGAGGTTGCTGGCAGGCCCAAGTTTCGCGATGTTTCTAAGGTTGTGGCCAAGAAGCCCCGCCCCCCAGGGACCCAGCTCATCCTCTGCCCCGACCCCAATGGGCACGTCTTGGGGCGGTGGGGGAAGGGGTGGCTGTGTGCGATTTGTCTCGACCGAGGGCGGAGCTGGACTCACCTGGCCAGTTTCAAGTGTTCCAGTTCGCCCAGGATTTGTCGCCAGGCTCACCGCTCGCATCGGTTGTGGGGAGGTGATCCTGGTGCTGCCCTCCCTATTATTTGGTGTTCCAGGTGCGGCAGCTATGCCAGGCACCGAATGAATTTGTTGGCTGAAGTGTGTGTTTGGGAGGCCCCGAAATGACGCTACAGGTAAGTCTCTGGAGATGCTGCGGCGGGGCGTGGACCCCACCACTCGTGCGAGTTTCGGCCGCAGCGTCCCACTTTGGATCGAGAGAGGGGTTAGCCGCCTGGCGGAGGCGACACCCCCATCCTCGTTCGAGGCTTCGTGTCATGAGGGGCCCCCGCAGGAGCCTCACCGAGGCGATGGCTCCCCTGCCAGGGCCACCACTGAAGGATGACTTCGGGTTCCCTCAGCGGCGGCCCAGGCAGGGGGGGGCACCGCCTCGGTCAGGATCCTCCCCCTTTTTCCCTGCCTCCCCCCCGTGTCTGGCCTAGGTTCTGCGCCGCTTCGGCACCGCGGATCCTCGGCTGATGGAGAAACTGGAGAAACAGGAGGAGGAGGAGGAGCGAGGAGGAGGGATACGGAGCGAGGAGGAGGAAGTAGGAGGAGGAGGAGCAGAAACAGGAGCTGGAGGATGAGGATGAGGATGAGGTGGAGGAGGAGGAGGAGGAGGAGGAGGAGGAGGAGGAGGAGGAGGAGGAGGAGGAGGAGGAGGAGGAGGAGGGAGGAGGAGCAGGAGCAGGAGCAGGAGCAGGAGCAGGAGCAGGAGGCAGGGCAGGAGCAGGAGCAGGATGGATGATGATGATGATGTGATGATGATGATGATGATGATGATGATGATGAGATGATGATGATGAGATGATGATGATGATGATGATGATGATGATGATGATGATGATGATGATGATGATGATGATGATGATGATGATGATGATGATGATGATGATGATGGTGATGGTGGTGATGGTGATGGTGATGGTGGTGATGGTGATGGTGATGGTGGTGATGATGATGATGCTGATGATGATGATGATGATGATGATGATATGATGATGATGATGAGGAGGAGGAGGGAGGAGGAGGAGGAGGAGGAGAGGAGGAGGAGGGAGAAAGGAGGAGGAGGAGGAGGAAGGAGAAGAAGGAGGAGAAGAAGGAGGAAAAAGAAGGAGGAGGAAGGGGCAGGGGGAAGAGGAGGGAAGAAGGGAGAGATTGACGAGGAGGCGGCGGAGGCGAGGACGACGGGGCGGCGGTGGAGGCGAGGACCACGGGAACCCGCCCGCCGCCCGAGGTGTGACCGCGCGCCGTTGCTGGACGCGGCTGCCCATGCGCGTTCCGCGGCCCCCCTTGGGCCCCTTCGCAGCCCTTGGGGCTCGACAGAATGCGGAGGTGGAGGGGAATGGTGACGAGGAGGAGGAGGAGGAGGAGGAGGATAATGAGGAGGAGGAGGAGGAGGAGGAGGAGGAGGGGAGGAGGAGGAGGAGGAGGAGGAGGAGGAGGAGGAGGAGGAGGAGGAGGAGGAGGAGGAGAGGAGGAGGAGGAGGAGGAGGAGGAGGAGCAGGAGAAGGAGGAGGAGGAGGAGGCGGAGGCGGGAGGGGGAGGAGGAGGAGGCGGAGGAGGAGGAGGCGGAGGAGGAGGAGGAGGAGGAGGAGGAGGAGCGATAGTGGCGGTATCGTTGCCTTTTGGTCTCGCCGGTCGCCAGCCCGTCGGGGCCCGCGCGTCGGGCCCCGCGCGGGGCCCTCCCCGCGCGCGCGCGGCGGGCCCGCTGGAGCGGGTGGCACGCGCAGGCGCTCAAAGGAGGGGCTCGCGCTCGCGCGTCGACTCGGAGGGGCCTGCTTCTCCTCCTCCTCCTCCTCCTCCTCCTGCTCCGCCTCCTCCTCCTCCGCCTCCACCTCCGCCTCCGCCTCCTCCTCCTCCTCCTCCTCCTCCTCCTCCTCCTCCTCCTCATTGTGCTTTTCGCCGTCCTCGTGGCCGTCGTTCTCCTCATCATTCTCTTTCTTTTCCTTCTCATCCTCCTCTTCGCAGTTGCCCTTGTCCTGCTCGTCCGCCGCTTCGTCATCGCCCTCTACCCCGCCGTTTTCTCCCATGCGACGTTGCGGCGCCCCACGGTGTGCCCTCAGCGAGGCTGTCGCCAGTTGGCGATGATTGGAGCCGGCTAGCCTCGAAGGCCCTCCCCCACTTGGTTTGCTCCTCGATGCACTCACTCCTCGAGCAATGCATGAGCACAGCCAACACCGACGTTCAGGATGGGACATTTTCGCAAGGGCAGCTCTTCTGATCCTTCGGTTCTGGCAATCCTTGGATGCGAGTGCGCTGCCTGCCTAGGGCCCCTTCGCGTCCTTCGGTTTCTTGAGGGTCGGCGCGGTTTGTCATTCCGGCGCGGTTCAGGGGCCTGCCTTTTTTAAAATGGTGTTTGAATTCAAAAATATTGTTTTTGAATTACAAGCCAGTTTTTTTGAATTCAGAAATTCCCCGAAAATCAAAAAACAGTTTTTGAATTCAAAAACCGATCCTTCGCTGACTTTGGCTGTACGGTCACTTCTCGCTGCGCCGGCGTGGGCGCGACCCCAGCGCGGGCCTTTCATGTCAGACGCCGCTGGTGTTCTGGAGCCGGCTGGTCTCGAACGACCCCGCCCGTCAGGAAGCCAGGAGCGCATTCCTGGGTCGTCGCGACGCGACCCTGCCGCGGGGAGTCTTGCAGGAGGAGGAGGAGGAGGAGGAGGAGGAGGAGGAGGAGGAGGAGTGAGGAGGAGGAAGAGGAGGAGGAGCAGGAGGAGTGAGGAGGAGGAGGAGGGGGAGGAGGAGGAGGAGAAGAGGAGGAGGAGGAGGAGGAGGAGGAGGAGGAGGAGGAGGAGGAGGAGGAGTAGAAGGAGGAGTGAGGAGGAGGAGGAGGAGGAGGAGGAGGAGGAGGAGGAGGAGGAGGAGCAGGAGAAGGAGGAGTAGGAGGAGGAGGAGGAGGAGCGAAAGAGCTCGAGGGCACGCGAGTCCTCCCGAGGGGGCCAGGCCCTCCTCTCTCCCCTGACCTTGGCCGTTCCTGTGCTTCTCTCAAAGCGGGGTTCTTCCCTGAGGTCTCGACCCCTTCATTGGGGCCAGCTTGTTCCTCCCGAGTCGTGTGTTGACTCCTTGGGGCCCAGCGAGGGCCCCCTCCCACGAGGCCCAAAACATTCAAGCATCTCCCGTCGTGTGCTCTTCACGA